GCTTGTTTGCTCGAGTTATTAACCCCCGAACTATGGATGAAACTATGGTTCGGCTATTTTCTGTTCTCCAGTGTGGGGGTGTGATTAACCTTTTCTATGGCTCTTTTGGCTCCACTTTGGCTTGTTCTCTTGCAAGACCATGTCGAAACCCGACCTCAAGCACCCGTTCATCCGGGATTTGAAGAGAGGCCCCCACAAGGATCGCTTCAAGCGCGTTCTGGCCTCCTTGTTTGGAAGCATCACTACTGGTCCAGGACGTAGTTTGAGAAGTTGCATTGCTACAACCACTTCCTCGCCATTGCCACTAACCGCCCATGGCGCCGTGTGTTTTCCATTCGAGCGGAGGTCTACGACGAGCCGGTGCTCGAGTTCTTTACAACCTTCCGGCACGAAGATACAACCGACTGGGCAGACAGCGAAGCCGTCAAGTTCAGGCTCGGCGGGGAGCCTCGCTCCATGAGCTACCACGATTTGGCGGTCGCTCTCACCTCGGCCTAGACGATGACGAGGACTACATCACCGAGGTCAGCAATTAGGAGGGTGTTAATTTCAAGGTGTTGTACATCCGCCTAGCTCAGCCTGGTCAGCGTCCCTTCCATGCAGGGCGGACGAAGGCTAGCACCATGCAGCTCGATAACCGCATTCTCCACCACATGCTGGCGAAGGCCTACACTTCAGCTGGGGACAGTGCCAGCACCCTCACCAGGAGGTCCATGTACTTCATCCAGACCATACGCACGGCGGACCATCCTCACCACCTGGGTTCTGTGGTGGCCCGGACTCTGGACAAGAGTGCTTTACAACTGGGGACCCTCTACTGCACCCCCCTCATCACCTGCCTGGCCACCTACTTCCAGATCCCACTACAGGCTTTCATAGAAAAGGGGGACACTAGTGTCTTCGGCGAAGAAACGATCTCGAAGATGCACCTTTTGAGAGTCGAGCGCGGTGTCAAGTGGATCGAGGGGTTTCCTGCTCCACCACTCCCGGTGGAGGACCAGCCCGATGTTCCTGAGGATGAGGCCACTAAGGATGTCCACCCCGAGGATGTGGATGATGCTGATGCCCCCCGCCCGACCACCTTCGAGTACGGGGGTAGCAGTTCCACTTTTCCATCCCAGGACTACTTCACTCACCAGTTCCAGCAGTTGAGTCTCCAGAATCAGCAACTCCGCGACCATCATCTCCAGATCCAGCAGCAGTACTCGACTCACCAGGCCGAGTATAATACCCGGATGGCTGCATATACTGAGCTCCTCGACCGTATGGAGGCCCAGCAGGGGGTGACCCTTGCTCACATCGAGAGGGAGCATGCCCGGTCTCGGCCTATGCAGGAGGTCCAGCATCACCTGCTCCAGCTGATACCGGGCGAGCAGCCAGTTTGGAGGACTCCCTGGGAGGACTCTCCACTTCCACCACCGCCCGCCGGTGATGATGCCTTCATGGACGACATCGGCTTTGACAACCTTGGCGACGAGTAGTATGTACTCGTCGCCCCTCCGAGTGTGTTTTTGTTGAAGACTTTTCGTGTTTGCTCCATGTGTGTGCGGAGCTTGAACTGATTCCATCGTTTGTTTTTGTTCTTTTTATTTCTTTTGTGGATTGTCTATTTTGTGGCCATCTGGGCTAACTCTGATCCCTAACGCACAGTGTGCTGGTGTGTTCTTTATGTTCCCTTCGTGCAGAACTGTTCCGTCGTTCCATATGTTTCCCACTGACTGGTCCACTTCCAGTCTCCCGGCAGTATTCCCATCTGGTAACATCGTTCCCCTTTATCTTTGCCTCTGCTCCATTGAGGGCAATGTCGTGCTTAAGTGTGTGTGTGGGGGGGGGGGGGGGGGTGCTTTGTATAGGTTGGAATCTATACATGTGTGCTTGGAGCCTAGTCCGCTGTCCAAATCTTGAGATTTGAGGGCTCCAAGTATCGCTGTTTGCATGATCATATTGGCACTGTGATTTGATTGGTGAATCGAATGGCTTTCGAATTATTGCATAACAGTTTGATTGTAACTAGGACAATCTATGATGATGACTGAGATGTGCAGTAGAATTGGGTAGGGGTTCAGTTTTTCTACTGTTTGCTTACCAACTGTGACTTGGATTGATCAATTGCTCTTGACAGTCGTTTATGCATCTAGTTCAGGGAATCAGAATGAGAGATAGAGCATATAGGTAGCCATGTGAGATTTGAGCCTGCTCGTTTCTTTCTTGTGCGATAGTTCCCTCTTCCATGATGTGTACCATTCACGTTGTCACTAGCTAAGATGATGGAGGCATAGGATTAGCCCACGACCAAATTGACTGTCCTGGTGTGTCATACCCCCTAAGCCGTGTACTTTTCTTTCTTTCGGTTTGTAATGGAAAATCACCCTTTTGCATCTCTTAGAAGGTTCCACAGAGTGGTTTTTGCATGTTTTCCGCTGTTTCTGCTAAATTAATGTGAGAGTTGGAGGTAGTGCTTAAAAATTGGGCATGTGTTTGAAAAATGTGCAGAGGTGGTGGTTCTCTCAAGAAGAAAAAAGAAGAAAAAAAGAAAAAAAAATTAATGAAAGAAAAAGAGAGCCATTACCCAAAAATTCTGAATCATGCTCATTAAGTAGTGTTTCTTAGCAGTCTGGCTTGGAAATACTAACAATTATGTGACCTCCTTGGCTCTTGTGCTCTAGAGAATTTGAGTAATGCAGAATGGCAGAAAGAAAGTAAGTGGTTTGATTGACTGTGATTGTGTTGGGTTTGGAACTGTGGAACCTTGTGATATGAATACTTCCACCACCTAAAAGGCCTTTTCCCCATGTCTAAGACCCTATCCAGTCACTTGAACCTTTGTCTAAGACCTCCGGATTAGTTAGTGGTGACATCCCTTGTGTGAGCTTTAACATTTAGAGGCTGCCATCATGGTGAAGAGATGTTAGGATTTTAGAGAATAAGCATGCGCATTTTTCGCATCAAAGTTCCTGACCCCACTGGTCGAGAGTGAGCGATTCATTTCCTTATTCTTTATGCTCTTTACTCCGGTGAGGACCTAGATGGCTCGGTCTTGATTCTGATGTCTTGGTTTGGTGCATGCGATGACTGTCTTGGTCAAGTGGTTGATTCAAGTCTATTGGTTGGTGAACAGAAAGGATTCCTTTTCCTTTACCCGATTTTTCTGCACTCGAATGTCCTCTGTGGTGGTTGTCTAGGTTGTTGTTGAGTTGTCCATTTCGCAATGATCAAAAGCCAGTACGATTCACGTGTTCTTTGCCTATATGATTTGTCCCCAATGTTGGTATGGTTGAAATAGGTTGAGCTTACCTTGTAATCTGACTTGGTTTGCTTGGGGACAAGCAAACGGTTAAGTGTGGGGGAATTTGATGACTTGATATATACACATGTTTTTGTCCACCATTCTAATACCGTTTGAGTCTTATTTCTCAAGTTTTAGGCCGATTTCACGCTAGGTTGTTCATGTTTGTGATATTTCAGGTCCTAGTACGTGAATGAAAGCTTGGGAACGAGTTCAGGGTCGATTGGACGTTTGGCGAGAAGCTGAGGAACTCACACGGGCACGCCTAAAATGCCACACGGCCGTATGACTTGACCGTGTGGCACCACTTTGCACGGGCAAGCCACACTGGCCGTGTAGGGGACCCCTTGTGGCCGTGTGGAAAGTCCATGGAGCTCACACGGCCAGCCTGGAAATCCATACGGTCGTGTGTCCCTGGCTGTGCAGCATGCCTGAAAGCCCACTAATCGAAATGCCGCGTTTTAACATCCACACGGGCAGACTGGAAAGCCACACGGTCGTGTGGCTTGGCCGTGTGGTCGGGAAATTCTGGGTTTTAACCCAATTTCGTGCCAAACGAGAGGGTTCCGAGTTTTAGAGAGACAAAGCGTATACCTAGAGAGAGAAAGTGACGAACCTGATTCTTCAAGTGCCTTAGATCGATCTCCATCACCATTGGAGCCCAGCTTGAGCTTGGAGAAGAGTTGATTGAGTGCTAGAAGCAAAATCTCATCCTTCACGGTATGGTTTCTGCATCTGAGCTAGATTTCCCATCTCTCTTTATGGAGTAACTTTCTTATTCACCTGGGTATGAAGAACCCTAGATTTGTATGTTAGGTTTGATTGTATGAACCCAAGTACGAATTTAGTGATATGAATATATTCAATTGAGGTCTGATTTGTTGAATGGCATGAATCCTAATCAAATTCCTATTGTTTCTGCTTTAACCTAGAAAAAGAATATATGCCTAGGTTGATAGAGCTCCCTTGATTGAAGGTAGTGAATTGAAGACTTTAGTCGAGGAGTCAATTCACTCTCTTGTACCGGATTTACTTCGGTAGTGGAGGTTTGGTTCGTTAGGGCCTCAATCTGTTTACTCCGGTGGAGGTTAGTCGCCCGCTGGGGACTCAGATTAAGAGGGTCTGGAGACCTTTAGTCGAGACTGCAAACTGTTTAAGAACCTCCCGCAGTATAACTATCATTGAAATTGAACTTGGTAAATTACAATTCGGCTTAACTGCAGTCTAGGGGGAACCACATCCGGGTGACCTCTCTCAACTTGAAAACAACCTTTAACTGCTTTGCTTGTTTGCTTGTTTGGATCTTCACTACACTTTCACTTCTAAATAATAAGAACTCACGGAGCAGTCATCACACTTAGGACCCGAGTTGACATTAAAACCCAAACCCGCTATACTACGCTTTAGGAGGTGGTTACACTTGGTCATTTTCTAGAGTGACGGTAGGAGCGAGTCACACATTCAAATGCATCTTCATTCCTTGAGCCAGTTATGTTTTTGCCAATACAAACACCATTACCTTGAATCATAGGTGCATTGCACAATTGAGTGAAGAAAGGAATTATAGAACGAAAATAGGAAATGCAGCTCACCGCGGTGAAGGACCGTCTAGACAACGGTAGTTACTAGAGCTTTTCAAATAATCTACTCAATCACCTGGAATCAAACGCAAAACCAGATTTCATATTTGTAAACTAATTGCTTTGTGGAGAAATCACACCAAGTGTGTTTATCGTAAGCTGGAGCAACACCCTTCATACATTGGTCGTCGTGAATAAGTGAAAGCAACCAGATCGTGCGCTCCAGTTAATTCTTGTAGACGACAAAACTTCGAGACCCATATATAGTTCCACCATCAAGAGAACAAAAAGACTGATTAACTACGGCCAGCTACAGTAGTGCAGAGGAAGTACAAATCAACCGAGACAAAAGAGGTGAGAAAGAAAAGGACAGCAGAATCGAATGGAAGTAAAAAAACCTATGACACCCACCTTCTCCTCGCCAGATCCATTTACGAAAGCGAATTTCCTTCGAGCCCTCCATAACAATGGGAACTCGCAAATCCTCTGTGTACCACAACTCCTTTGTCCCCGTTGAGGTTGCAAAACATCCTTCAAATTTGCAAAACGCTATCAAATAATGAAAGATTAAAGAACAGAGTATGGAAGTAAAGAGGAATAAACTGACAAACTCATATTCTCTACTTTCTCTCCTCTCCTCTCCTCGGCTAAGCTAAATGTTTTATTGATTTGCATGCGGATGCTCAAATCCCATTAAAATTTTGAATCTTCTCGAGAACCTTGCGCTACAGCAACCACTGTGGAAATGACTCACAACAGACCCTGCGTTCCCGTCAAGGCAATCGGTTGGACTCATAGGCTTTAGTGATGGCAATGGGGCGGGGAGGGGCGGGTACCTCAATTCCCATGTCCTGCCCCACGCTACTACGGGTCGGGGCAGGTAAAACCCCCGCGGGTACAGGGCGGGGCGGGTCGATCCACTCTTACATGGTACTTGAAAAAAATACACACAAATTTTACTTTTTACGATAAAACAAAGGGGAAAACACTTTATGAAAGAAAAATAGTAATTATAGAATGGATAATTTAGGCTAACAAATTGAAATATCGACTCTAACTGGGTGAAGAAAAATCAAAATAGGAGAAATATGTACAGATACCGTAAGAAATTGAGATAAAATGGGTATAGAACAGGGCGAGGCGGGACAGGGAGGATCAGAAGTAGATACCCATGTCCCGTCCCACGCTACTGCGGGTCGGGTAATACCCACCTCATCGCGGGTCAGATCGGGTAATACCCGCGGGTCGGGTTCAAATTGCCATCAGTAACTAGCTTTTCGCTGGAATTCGATGTTCGCCTATGATAGTGAAATCTTTGTTGGCATCTCATCTACAAAAAGATCAAAAAAGCTTTATAAGAAGATAGAGAGAATGAACTCATCTCAGAAAACTCATCAATGACAAAGAAAATAGAAACATGAAGGTTAGGATCTCCTCCGAATCGTTTCCCGACCTCTCAAAAAATGGACAATTCGCTCTAGGCAGAGAGTGGAAATCGGAAAAGACAAGGGAAACAAAAACATATGGGAGGACCAATCTTCGTACCTGCATCCACCTCGGAAAATACATTCCAAACAACACTAGATAGCTCCTGATCCACTCTAGGCCCCTCAAATTCCCTCTTGATCACCCTTATCGTTGTCTCCTGCACAGGTTCGGTCGACTTTTTATTTTGTTTTCTCTCTGATCCCTGTATTCTCAGGACGGATTTGAAGGTGAGAAGGGGAGAAAGAAACAAATTGATCAGAGATTTTGCAGAGAAATCCAACAAATGATGGGAGCAAGAACAGGTTGGGGGAAGAGAGATGAGAGACATTGGTGTAGAGAGAAGTGAGAGAAAGAGCAAAGAGAAAGAGAGGGTGTTAAAAGTAGAGAGGAAGGATCGGTGTGAGATAGCATGCTTTGAGTAGGTTTGTGTGGCCAAAATAAAAAGGAGACATGGCTCCTAGCCCTCCAAGCAAACCATAAAAGTTCCCTCCCTCTCTCTTTGTACCCTCTAATAAAGAACCAGCGAATCCCCTCTCAAACGCAAAAATACTCAGTCTCTCTCTAGGAAGAGTCGCCCACTTGAGCCCGACGCGAATTCTGTGGCATAGGGAAGGAGAGAGAGAGAGAGAGAGAGAGAGAGAGAGAGAGAGAGAGAGAGACCTGAAGCAGATTTCGTACCCCACTCTGTCAAGCGAAAGGAAAGGGAGATGAGAGGAAATATATCGTCCACTTAAGCCTGCGCGACTTCCGTGGCAGAGTAAAGGATCAAGAGAGAGAGCCCTAAGTAGTTGTGAGACGGCGGCAAGCCAGGGCCACCACAGTGCAACTAATCACCCAACATCTAATCAACCATCGGTCATACAAAAAGAAGATGGAGGAGTAAGAAGGGAAAATCGGCTTGAGGTCGGCACGGCCCACCACAACAAATGGGAGGAAGAAAACAAACTCGTCGCAAAACCACACAAAACGGCAGCGCATAAGCAAACACCAGGGAAGATGCAGAGTGGGCCCAAATCAGAGAGCCGTCCATTCAGAGACCAATGAATAGTCTAATGTGTCTAAATGAACAGTCCAATGTATCTTGGTGTACAGGGATCGCAGATTAGTGTGATTAACTTCTTTAATTAGAGGGGACAATTTTGTCGCTATAGCTAGCCTATCGAACTCTAATTAAAGTCCGTTTCAATTTGGAAAACAATGCAACTCTCACTATAGCCCAACCAATTAGTTCACGTATCTAGCTCTACAGTTGGTGTTTATGTATTAGTCTCGATTATTATTGATTTTATAGTTGGGGAATTAGAGGTGACACTTTTGCTCAAATTTATGAATATTTACTTATCAAATTTGATTGACTTGGATATGCAATCTAAATATACGACAAACTAGTATAGTTTGATGGGATTTGAAGGAATGTATGTCCCCCTTTATAATGTTTCTTTTATAATGGCGGATATATTATACATAATTAAAAAACTGTACATCAATAAGAAGTCAAGAAGAAAAAGAAAAACTCGCAGAAGACTTGTAGATCACTCTCTTCATAGTTCATCATTAGCTACCTTCCCTTTCCACCTTGTAGTAATTAGACAAATGAGTCGAGACAGATTGATTCATATTTTAGGATTAGGCCATACCTCTCTTTTTTAACTTGTAGCAATTAGACAAATGAATTGAGATTGATTGATTCATTTTTTAGGATCAGGCCATTAAATATTACTGGAACATAGCAAGTTGAATGATTATTAATTATCCAAAAATACTGAAAGTTCAATAAATTTCTGGGTAAAATTAATTAGGAGTATGGGCATTATGATGATGAGCCATCCAAAATAAACTCAGAAAATAAATTGAAAACCATTTCAAAAAATCGTCCATAAATATGAAAACTTGACAAATGTCAGACCTCCACAACAATTTAAAGTCAATTCTTTTTTCTTCTTCTTATTTACCCCTCTCGAGAGGAAAGTGGCCACAACTTGGCTCTATTCTAATAATTCAAGGGCACTCCTTGTAGTTAGTTATCCTCAGTTCCGGAAGGGACACAGCTGCACAGTATACACCAAGTCTTACAAGCCGGCTTGCAATGGAATGGCGCCCTTGATAGTTGGCACCTAGCAATGCAAACTTTATCACGATCTGTGCACGTAAAAAAAAAAAAAAAACAACCCACAACATTGATTCAGAGTAATAGTTTGCCAAAAATACAAAATTCACTATAAGAAAAACAACATTTCGTGTCAGAAAAAAAAAACAGTGTTCATACATAAGTAAGGAAATGTTGTTAGGGTGATTGTTATGTGCGCGAGTAATTTAGTATTAGTCGAATGACTAACCTAGTTTAGTAGAGCCACCGTCGGAGGAACGGGCTAATTCGGAGACCACATTGGATTGGTGATGATCATGAGCATGAGTGAGCTGGAGCATGAGAAATGAGAGGACGGCGGTAGCAACGAGAAGCCTTGAGATTGCCATAGGTTTTTAAGGGTATAGTTTCTTTGGAGCTAGATGGTTTGTACTTGGAGAAAAAGGTTGATGAGTGGTGAGAAGATGAGATGGAGAAGTGACCGGGTATTTGTAGTGACAAGTTTGAAGCTAGATAGATATATTAAGTTAAATGTATGAAGGTATATAGAAAATGAATGAATTATATAGTTCACAATTGTGATGTTTGTTTAATCTTAGAATATAATGGGATGTGAGGAAACGGCAGTAATATAAAATTGTTCAAAGAGAGAAGACAGAAGAAAAAGAACGAAAGGGAGAAAACAACATTAATATCTGACCCACTCCAAGACCATTCCCAATGTACAAGTTTAAAAGTGTCAAATTTTATACGTATATATTTTATATATTATTGGTCCACTTGAAGTAGATTTGCTTCATTGGGAAGGTCAATGTGCCAAAATTTTCATGTTTAGGGTAGATTTCATTATTTTATATAGCCAGTAATAAATAATTATGACTAACATTTTTATGCAATTTTTTCATTTGAACAAAATAAAATTCATTAAACATGACATCATAAATGATGAAAACACAGTAATTATTTCCTACCCGAATTATCAACAACAAAAAAAAATTATACCCAAATTATAAGCAGAATTTTTTAATTTTTTTTTACCTCCTAATATTGGTTTTGTTCGCCCCTAATTAACTAACATGTAGTTGATTTTCTTTAAATTTCATCCGTTCATGTTTTCTTTCAATTCTCTCTTCCTTTCTTTAAAACAATACACCCAAAAAGTTTCAACTCGAATTGTCGAATCATGAATGTTTTTTTTTGCGCATATGAATTGACAAGGACAAATCTGCACTATGTCTCGAAAAGGTTTGTTTCCCGAAAATTTTGAAAGTCATATACTGATGTACACTTTCCAAAATTTGTAGACTTAACTCTTTAAAGAGTACATACACACTCCAAATTCCAAAATCCTGCCCTGAAAAAAGCGTTAAAGAGAACGACTTCTTTTCACGACCCTTTTAAATAATAATAAAAACCATTTAAAAGAACGCCCCAAACACCATTAATTTATAATATATTATTCCACACATAATAAATTTCCTATATCTTCTCAAATATAAAAAAAAAAAAACCATAACACCACGAGATATAATTATATTGTTCATCACGATGAACCCTCGTCTCCCTTATTTCAATTACAAATCGATGATGAGTCAGCCAGACACAGAGCAATAGTACCAACACATCATATCATCACATCCCGTAATCTTATACTTATCATCACACCCCACAAACACACAATATATATAGCTAGTGATCATCTCCAGAGTTGCCCTTCGTTTTAAGGGCACTTGAGCCTTCCGCCGTGGGTAGTCATACGGGCGTAACAAGGGCAGACGTCCCTGTTCCCAGAGGTGCCCGGCGGCACGCAGTTGCACCTCGAGCAGCAAGTCCCACAAGCCCTAATGCACATCTTGTGCCTCGACGCCAGCCGGCACCTCGCCTTGCACGCCCTTCCACAATCTGTCACATTTTTACGTGTCGGCGTTACATTGTAATAGTCACGCTCGCAAATAACACACACTATAACTAAGCGAATCGCGAGATATCGTACGATTTAAATGTTTGAAAATTTTACCCATTTTGGCGTATTGGACGTCACCGTAAGTGGCTGGTCCGTCGTCGTCGGAGCCGCCGCCTATAGGGATTTGTTCATCGGCTTGGCAGAGATGAAGGGCAGGAAGTGAGATGATGAGTATGATGATGATGATGAGAAGAGGAGTAGCAATGGCAGGCTTAGGGAAAGCCATGGGAGGTCAGGGGAAACAGAGAACTTTATATGTAAAAGCTATTTAGTGTATGAGTTTACAGGAAGTGGGTGTATTTATATGTGTATTTTTGGGAGGCGTATGGGAATTTTTAGGCCGTGTGACTTATGGCTTTGAAATGGCATGTTTACACATCAGATGAATATTAATATCATGGGTTTTCATTTTTCACTTTTCCGTAAGGAAAAATATATGAAAAAAATAAGATTATAGGCGATATAATTGGTTGAGTTTGTTCAGATGTCCATGCCGATTAGGTTAATTAACATTGAACAACAATTTTCGTTTGTTCTTGAAATTGCAATTTTTGTTTTATGGATAGACGGACACAATTTGAAAACACTAACCCAAGTAAGTTGCATTTCCTTTTCTGTAAAAATGACACAATTTGCGAACACTAGGGCATTAAAGTACATTTTTAAATGGACATCATTTTTTTTCTCGGATTAAGGGAGTGATTCTATTAATTGAAGGTAAAAGTCTGTTACACACATACAAATATCTGAATCAAAAACAAAAAGTAATAGAGTTGGACAAAGAAGTGCAACCAAGTAGAGACGGTAAACGGTTAATCAGTTATCGATTTTAAGCGATAACCGAATCGATAATGATGATTGGAGATTAATCGATAATCGAACTTTTTAGTGGTTTGGTTGTGATTAGTTGTATTTTGCGTAGTAGCTGACCGCTAACCGATCAATAATGATGGTTGGAGATTAATCGATACCCGAACTTTTTTACTGGTTCGATTTTGGTTAGTTGTATTTTGCGTAGTAGTTGACCGCTAACCGACCAATAACTGCCAACTAGTATAACTACAAAGTTTTGGGCTTTGGCTAAGGGAAAAAGTCTCAATATGCAAAACCAACCAAGGTCGCAATTCCAAACACCCATTATTCACACATATTGCAAAATAACCCTCCACCCGAAGTCTCAAATATGTTTAAGAGTTAGAACCCGAAAGTCGTCCCTCTATGACTCTCTTTGACCTTTGTAAATCATGATAATCTTGTGGTGCTTGTGTTTGATGTCTTGTTAGTTGGTACTTGCTAATTGGTGAAGACGTTTAATTATTTGTAATTCTGTGAGTTGAAATTTGGATTATGAATTCACGATAGATTTTGTATTGTATGTTATTACTTATTTACTTATAATTATTAAGGACCACCATACCATTTGCTTAAGGCAATGGTTAATATTGGAGTCGTGAGAATTTGAACACACGATTCAACGATAAACCAACTCTAATAGCATGTCATAACCCAATTGTTGGCAGAGGTTCATGTATTAATCTTAACCGCTTACTAACGCTTACACTTTTCAATGAATTATAGATAGATTATAATCATACAGCAGGCAATGAAATGAACTCATATTTCCATTGGTTAATCATATGATAAGCCCATATTCAATTGTAGTTGAAAGTGTAATTACTACACAATTAGCTGTGAACACCTTAGGAGTAATGACTATCATTGCCTGAGTTACATGATGTATGATTGACGAGTGTGGGCTCTTTTATGGGGGAGTCTTCTTGGCGGATAGTTAGGGTTGTCTGTTTAGAAGCCTTTTTAACTCATTTTGGAAATATGTTTGAAATGAAAGCTTTGTTTGGGAATTAGCCCTACAAAAACGAAAAGGAGACCCTTCCTGCCTGGTAAGGATTTCCAACAAGTGCCAGCTTAGTTGATAGAGCCACTTTAGATAGAGACACCCCCACCGGCCACTGCTTTATTCTTTGCCCTTTATGAAGAGTTCATATCAATCAGCCCTCTGAGAAGAATTAGGACGGATTCTAGGGCAGGACAGGCACTTCCATCATGAATAATAGACCCCTTGAAAATGAAGCTAATAGTACTAATAACATAAACCGATAAACGTCAATTAATTTTTTGATATATTATCTAGGTGATTATAGTATCCAATTCTTTCACTATGAGTAATCACAGGAGACAAATTGCAGACATTTCACTTATCAAATTATGTTCCTCCGGTCAACGGACCGGACTTTAATCTTGCATGTATATGATACAAGAAGTCTGCACATGTATGAGACAAGATGCTCATGTAACTGGCAATGATAGTCATTACAACATGAAATGGATATCAAACAAACCAGAAAGAGATCTGCAGGGTGCTGCATTTTCTTTAGCTCTAGTATCTGTCCCTTGATCTGTATACCAACCTACGACAACCAGAAAGAGATCTGCTTCTAATGCATCTAAGAGCTAGTGGATACGGAAGACTGAACATAAACCAATTATAGTCATGTTGTACAACTCAACTTGAATAAAGGGAGTTCGTTATAGCATAGACAACCTTATGGCCCGTGGAACTTGCAGACATGACAGTGCACAGACATGGCGGGAGTAAGGGATCTTTCAGAGAATCGACGTCAGGAGTAGCCAAGAATCACTGGGAGTGATAATGTACTGGCGTAGATAGTTAGCTAGCTGTAAGGTATATCGGTCCTGTATATAGGCGTCCATTCTGCAGGATTGGTATATCGATCTAGGATGGAACTTTCCTCAGGACACCTTCCTCCAAGCAGGTAGACACTAGTCCCAAAACAAGTTTGGAACACTTGCTCAAGCAATCTTGGGGTAGAGATTTCCTTTGAACTTGAAAGGAAGCTTTTTCATGGCAACCAAATCCTACCTAGATGGGCGGCTGCTAGAAGTAACTAACCTGAGGGAACATGGACAGCAACAAAGAGACGACACAAGACCAGAATCTACAAAGCAACCTAGTAATATTGCTAAATCAAAACTGGAATGCACCAAGTAAATAATTGGTTGATGAATTCCAAAGCACTGTAATAACAAGTTCTCAAGGCTAAATTCCCATTTCTCAAGCGAGAAAATGGATAGGCAATCATATATTGAAATTCTTCACCTATATGAAACAACCACCCACTACTGTGTTTCAACAAGACTCGACAACTTGGACAAGAAAACCCAATTACGTGACAGTTTTATTGGCTAAGGTTGCAGCTTCGCCATTCTTTGCTGAGCCAAACAGCTTACCAATTTGATAATGCTCGCGGACATGATAAGGACATTTGTAAAGCAGATCCTGTGCCTCAGAATGTCTTCCCTCCTTGAAGAAAGCTTCAAAAACATTTTTATAAGCTGCCAGTGATGGATACTGTTTACTACTCAATGCCTGAAGGAGATCTGCAGCATCTAGCACTGTCCCATACTTGGATATGTATTGAACGATAGGCTCGGGATACGGAGGGTAGTTGTGCTGTCTCATCAAACGAAGGACATTCATGGACTCTTCAAGTTTGCTTGCTCCTAAGAGGCTTTCTATAATATGTTTATAGGTAGCTTGCCAAGGTCTCACATGAGTATTATTGATCATCTCAACAAGGAATGTGTATCCACCATCGATCTTCTTTTGATCAACAAAGCCCTTCACCAAAACATCCACCAAATCAGCATCAGCATTACCATCTTTTCTCATCATTGTACCAAAGCACATTAGTGCCTTTTCAAGTTGCCCAGCATTACAGTGGCCCTGAATTAAAATAGTCCAGGTCTTGATATCCGGTGGACATCCATTTGCTTCCATATCATCCAAGACTTTAGAAGCTTCTTCAAATCGTCCTGCTTTGCAAAGACCAAAAACCAACTGGCTGTAGGTGATATTATCTGGCTCACATCCTGCATCCCTCATAGCATTCAAAATCTTGTCTGCTTCAGCAAAGCTTCCTGCATTCACAAGTGACCTATGCAGCCCATCATATATAGCTTTCGAGAGAACATTCCCAGTTGCCTCATACTTCTTCACAACCCTGAAAACTAAGCTCAGATCCAGCTTATGACTTGCAGACATGTTTCTAAGCAGTAAACTACAGTCTTGAGTAGAGGGTTTAAACGGACTATCCATCATGAACTCATAAAACTTTACTGACTCCTCATTCATTTTATACTTATGGAAATGCCTTGAGATCTTTATATAACTATCAATGTCAATATAATAACCAGCACTCTTCATCTCCTCAACAATGATCCAGAATTCCCCCATTGTATCTTCCTTGCCAAGAACCCTTGCCATTGCATTGTAAGTGACAGTGCTGTGCTTATAACCCTCACACGTAGCAACCCAGTGGAAAAAGCTCAGAGCTTTGAAGGGACGGTTCTTAAGCTCCCTCAACACTCTTATCACGAAATTATCGGACAACACAATCTTCATATCCTCCAACCTTTTCATAACCTCATCACCCCACTCTGCTTCCAGAATAACGCCAGCCACCTTCTTCACCACACCATCCATAGCATTTTCTTGAATCATCCTGTCATAAAATTGTTTCAACGCCACAGCATCACTCTGCATTTGATCCTTCTTAAACAGCCTCCAAAGCGTAGTGTAAGTCTCCTCATCCAAACAAAATCCTTGCTCCTTCATTTTCCTTAGAGTGATCCAAAACTTCTTCATGGAATCCTTATCAGCAAATATTCTGAGCAGCAAGCTATAAAGCGAGGAGCTTGGTACAAACCCATCTCTCGTTGTGACCCAATTGTAAAAACCCCATGCCTTGTCTGGCGCGTGGTCCAGTTTCCTCAAGATATAAACAACCGTCTCATGGGTAATCAGGAAAGGGGTATTCTCCAACTGGTTCGACAGCTCCGTCGACCAATCATTTCCTAACAGTAGCTCTACCACAGAGTTCGGCGAGGAGGAGAAGCAGCACCTTTGATTGGCGTTGAAAGAGTGAGACTTGGACTGAGAAATATGAGAGAAACTGGTTACCTGAGATAGCAGGGGCACCGGCGGAGCAGGAGGGAGTCTAGTAGAAAAGGCAATCCTGGAGAACTTGACGGCCGAAAGAATTAGCCTCGCTCGATTCATTTCTATTGACGGAATTCGAAGTAATCTCTGTCAAGGGTTTAAGTGTTGGCCTCGCTTGAAAATGGAAAAGCTGTAAATATCCGGAGCAAGAGAAAGAATTTCAGGGGCAAGGGTTTAAGGGGCGGCACAGCGAGTTTTCTTAAACCCTAGAAGGAAATTGAACCCTTAACAGTTAACAGAGATGGGATCATGCGATGATGCGAATGTGAGCAAGGGTTGGCTACTTGGCTTACTCGGTTTTGGTTTCCCTTTTTTCCACCCCAAACTCGGTTTTGGTTTCCGGTGAACTATTAAACAGGTTAAAAGTTCAAACCAAGAATGGCAGTGGGCATTGGGCAAGCAGCAAGGTTGTCAAACCTGTAACCGGCCTGCCGGTTTAATAGGGTCCAACCAAAATCGCCTATTGAAATGGTTGAAATACATTACGGTTGGACGATTCTGGAAAAGTTAGAATCGGGTTAATTCGTTGATAACCAGATGGTCTAACCATCCAAATCGGGTTTGAAGATTACAATCGATAATTTTGTAATATATATTTCTTTCGAAGAAATAATTTTTAGCAATATATGAATATAGATTAATGAGATTGTTTTAAGATATGTCAAATATATTTGGTATTAGAGGTTTTCTCACATATTATGTTAAAACCGAATTTCAATTGGTTGAATCTAGTCCGACCATTAACCTCAAACCATTTGTCAAATTGATTTGATGACTTAATCCGGTTTGACAACCTTGACAAGCAGGGGTGAGTGTAACTCTGGAATGAGTCGTGTTTGGGTCGGCATGACACAGATACATTTTGGGCTCATTTATCTCATGTCTTTCTTGGTATGACCCATCAACTTTCGTATTGTGTCAGTGCATTTTTAAAACTTGCTAGGTCGGGTTCGGGTCGGGCACGATTTGAATAATTTTGTATCTACCTATACTCGTGTCGTTACTGATGGCAATGGGGAGGGGAGGAAAGGGTGCCTCAATACCCATATATGCTCTGCACTAAGCGCAAGTCAGTTCAAGTATACCCCCACGCGTACAGGACTGGATGGGTCGGGTAGGATACCCGTGGGTTCGTATTTTATTGCTATTCCTATGTCTCACTCGCGTCAAACCATCAAGAATGCCAAAACCATCAACGACTACGAATCTACCACACAAAGCCTGAAACTTTATAGTGTGGAAGGTAATGTGCCTAACCAAAGAGCAAAAAGGCTACTACCCAAACTTTACAGTCTTCCTCACAACACCAAACCCTACAACTGATGATGTGGATGTCAACAAAGCACCAACGGATCTAACCAAACCCGCCATGGAAGCAGCTTTTAGAAAAAAGCTAAACCAAGCAGGTATCCACCGCATGCCCCGATGCAACTGACGATGTTCGTAACTGGAAGCCCTTTTACACCACTCCTGATGGGAGACGGAGAACTAGTTGCCCGCCCAACACACTGCAAAACAAAGACATGAACAGCAAACACAACTTAAAGAGCGGACATCGCAGAATGAAAAGAGTAAGAAGTCGAAGAATTATGCGTATTTGATACCTCTTGACGTAGTAGTAGCTGAAATTTGATAGGATGAAGGTTTGCACTATCTGAGAAAGTAGGACCATAGAAGGCCACAACCCATAGCCCAGTGCTGTCAGCAGGTGGCTTCGAGTATCAAGTACCTTTTTTCGTGGCAAAGCAGAACATGAATTAGTTTATTGAATCAAGGGTTCAACGTGTAATGGTTCAAGATCCAGCAAAATTTTCATGGATACAAAGTACAGTGAGCTTCAGCATCAACTCCACACAAAATAGGAAGAGGAGTTATAGTAGATAGTCATCTAACCTGGAGGACCCAATGTGCGTAGCTCAAGAAACGTGCAACTCCAAGTGCAAATACATAATGTGTCGTGAAAGGTTCAACAATCTGATATCAGGAATAATGTGTGGTTAGAAATCATACGCAATACTCAACCCGAAGATAATCCCCGCTGTTATTCCATCCCTTTCCACTGACCTTCCTCACTACACTTAACCTCCATTAACCTTCCTCACTACACTCTCTCTCCACATTTAACCTCACTCCTCAAACATTTATTCAACCCTCCCCTGGACTGCAGAACCTCTCTGTGCAGTCCCCTGACCCAAACTCTAGAACCTTTCTCCCCCCCCCCCCATCATCACCAGAACTTTCCACCCCACTTAAATCGATCAACCTTAGCCTGGAATTGGTACCGTGCACACCCTTGGAAAGTAGCCTTCGCTCAACCACTGACCTTTCGCCTCTTTCCACCTCTTCCCCTATTGGTACTCACTTGAATATCGAATCCCATTTAAATGCCTTACCTTCACCCTCCTGTACCCAAATGAGCCCTACCAGGAATTGGGATTTTAACTCTTACCCCTTTGATGAATTCACCCTCAAATCTAGAAGCCTCGACCTTGCTTGTAGATTCAATTTGATTTCAAAGGAAAACCCAGAGCAGGACGAGAACATCATTTCCGAGGCATCAAGAACCACGCACGGAAGAAAGATTTGTTCCTCCCGATCTAAACTGGAGATGGAGAAATTCAGACTTGGGCCCCAGGCACCTCCTCCATCAGAACCGAGGCGTAACAGAAGCAAATCCAAAGGTTGGGACGACATCTCTAAAGCTATTTAATGGTTTCATCCATCTTCATCTGGAATGTTAGAGGTTTGGGTACTGAGGAAAAGCGAGATAGAATCAAATATATTGTGGGAAGAAAAAACCCGAAAATTGTTGCTCTCATCGAAACAAAATGGAGTACCTGTAGCATTGAGCAGATTTCCAGCATTAGTGGCTCACGTGATGTGGGTTGGAAGGCAAAAGATGCTAGCGGAAGTTCGGGTGGTATCGCCATTTACCGGGACAAGAATCTATACAGGGAAGTCACAAATTTTATTGGGTCTCACTTTATCGCCATTGAGTTCGAAGATATTCCTGGATCTAAGTACTGGACTCTTGTGGTTGTTTATGGTCCCCAGAATAGAACTGAGAAATTGAGGTTTATGTCTGAGATTGAGGCTTTTTATAGACAACTCCAGAACCCGTTTTGTTTGGCTGGTGATTTCAATTTGATCAGAAGCCATGAAGATTATATTGGGGCGGATAGGAATTCAGATTTGATGAATAAATTCAACGAAACTATAGACAATCTGGCTGTTTGATAGACCGATAATTACACATATTTTCACCCCTATTCTTGAGCCATTTGAGGGGTTGACTCTCGGGTTTTAAGCCGATTTCACGCGAGGTTGTGTGTTTATGTCATATTTCAGGACCCGGCGTTGGAATCGAGGCGAAGGAACGAGATTCGGGTCGGAAGGAGCAAGTGAGGATTGAAGTGGGCTGGAGGAAGAAAATACCCGGCCATGACCACAAATACCCGGCCGGGTATTATTCTGAGGAGACCGGGGATTTTCCCTTTTGGCGTCTGAGAAACAGGGGGGGTCCCGGTCTGGAAGGCAGAAATCCCCGACCGGAGATTATTGGATGAGACCGGGTATTTTCCCCTGGCCAAAACGTGCGTTTTAACTATACCCGGTCGTGACCCAAAATACCCGACCGGGTATTTCGACCGGGTATCGCGACAGGCAGCTGTTTTAAAGGAAAAGAAGGCCAAAGATCAGGGGATTCGAGTTTTAGAGAGAGAGATCGATTCCTAGAGTGAGAAAGTGACGAACAAGAGTCTCCAAGTGCCCTAGCTTGATCTTCATCACCATTGGAGGCCAGTTTGAGCTTGGAGAAGTGTCGATCAACGTCCAGGAGCAGGAATCCATCCTTCATAGTATGAATTCCGCGTTTGATTCTGCTTTTGCCTCTTTCTCCATGGAGTAGTTCTCCCATTCATCTGGGTATGGAGAACCCTAGATTTGTATGTTAGGTTTGATTGTATGAACCCAAGTACTGACTCTATGATTTGATTATATTCGATTGAGGTTTGAATGATTGAATGACTTGAATCCTGATCAAATTCCTGTTGTTTCTGCTTTGACCTAGAATGAGAATATCTGCCTAGGTTGATAGAGCATCCTTAATTGAAGGTAGGGAGTTGGTGACTTTAGTCGAGACGCTAACTCACTATTCTGTACCGGATTTACTTCGGTAGTGGAGGTTTTGTTTGTTAAGGCCTCAATCTGTTTACTCCGGTGGAGGTTAGTCGCCCGCTAGAGACTCAGATTGAGAGGGTCTGAAGACCTTTAGTCGAGACTTCAGGCTGTTTGAGAACCTTCCGCAGTATAACTATCATAGAAACTAAACTTGGTAATTACAATCCGGCTTAACTGCAGTCTAGGGGGAACCATATCCGGGTGACCTCTCTTAACCTGAATACAACCGTTTACTTGCTTTGTTAGTTTGTTAGTTTAGACTTGCATTAAAGTTTTATTGCTAGATAACAAGAATTCACCGAGTAGTCATCAAATCTAGGACCCGGGTTGACATTTAAACCCAAACCCGCTATACTACGCTTTAGGAAATGGTTTCACTTGGCCAATTCCTAGGGTGACAGTAGAAGTGAGTCACTGTTCTCGAACTCCCTTTAAATGGGAGCCGCTTCACTCGGAGCAATGGTTGGAATAATGCTTCTCTCTCGCGTATTGACAGGGTTTTCGTCTCAAGTGATTCGACAGTATGTTCCCGGATTGTAATCTGGCTGCTTTGGAGAGAGTTGAGTCAGATCATAATCCTCTCTACATCTCATGGGGTGATTTTGCAGAGATCAAAAGGCCATGGAAATTCGAAAACATGTGGTTGGAAGATGAAAGATTATTCAAAAGTGCTGAAGTATGGTTTAAAGCCCCTGTTTTTGGCAAAGGTGCTGTTTTCTTGTGGAGTAGAAGACTAATCTTTCTGAAGCGCAACATAAAAATATGGAATAAGGAAACCTTTGGCAATGTAAAAGTCAGAATCGATAACCTTCTTAGTGGTATAAAGCAGTTGGATGATAAGGAAGATTGTTCGAACCTCCAGGAAGTTGAAAGAGCCGAGAGAGAGGAGTTGAAAGCTGAGCTGCAAAACACCCTCAATATGCAGGAGCTGTCTTGGAGACAAAAATCCAGGGAGTCATGGCATCAAAAAGGAGAAAGGAATACCAGGTACTTCCACAGGATGGCAAATTATAGAAGGAAAGTGAACTTCATTAGTCGCATCCAGATTGATGGCAGGTATTTTGAAGGGAAACAGGCCCTTGGTGAAGCAATTGCTAATGAGTATAAACTCTTATTTCAAGAAACTACCTTTGAAAGGCCTTTTCCCAATGACTATCTGGAAAGATCCCTAGATGAAGATGACTGCAGACTTTTGACTCTCCAGTTCACAGAAAAGGAAATATGGAGCGCAATCAGGGATTGTGATGGGTTCAAAGCTCCGGGGCCAGATGGTTTCACGTTTGAATTTTACAAGAAATGTTGGCCTCTTTGCAAAAAAGATATTATGCTGGCTTTTGAAGAGTTCCACGACAATGGGTATCTGCCGGACAGCGTCACTCATGCTTTCATTTGTCTTACGCCTAAGGTGGATGTGGTGGAAAGCGTTAAGGATCTTCGCCCGATTTGTCTTATGAACCGTTTTCATAAAATACTGAGTAAAGTACTCATGAAAAGGATGAGCATTGTTCTACCCAAGCTGATCTCTCATAACCAGCATGCTTCTGTCATTGGTAGACACATTTCGGAGGCTGCCTTAATTGCTAATGAAGCTATTGACAGCAGGAGGAAATCCAAAAAATCGGGGCTCATCTTTAAGCTTGATATTGAAAAGGCCTTCGATAATGTTAGCTGGGATTGTCTGTTCAAAATTATAAGAAGTGTTGGGTTCTCGGAGAAATGGCAGCAATGAATCAAGAGCGTCATATGTTCTCCGGTGACTTCAATATTAGTTAACGTAGAACCCCATGGTTACTTTAGATCGGCAAAGGGGGTCAGGCAAGGAGACCCTTTATCCCCTGGTCTTTTCGTACTTGTCATGGACATGTTGTCTTTCCTAATTTCTAAACTTCGGGAGGTTGGTGGGATATCGGGATTCTTTATGGATGAACACAGGGGAGTTGGTGAAGTCACCCATCTCCTATTTGCGGATGACACTCTCACTTTTTGTGATGCCTCAGCAGATCAGGTGGTTAATATTCTTGTTGTGCTGGTGTGTTTCCAATCTATCACAGGACTTAAGATTAATTTGGACAAATCAACTATGTTCACTGTGGGCGACATTCCGGAACCTGATTACTTTGCAACGATCCTTGGGTGCAAATGGAGTAATGATCCATCGAAATACCTTGGATTGCCATTAGGAGATCGCCCAAATGCAGCTGCAATTTGGAATCCTGCTGTGGATAAATACCAAAGAAGACTACAAGGCTGGATGAATAGACACCTATCTCTTGGAGCTAGGCTGACTCTGGACTGTTCTACTTTGAACAGCCTGCCTTTCTACCATTTCTCACTCCTTAAGGCCCCTTAGAAGACAGTCAATCAACTTGAAAGAATTCAAAGAAGATTTTTGTGGAGTGGAACTAGTAGCAACGACAAGATGCACTTGGTTCGATGGGATGTTTGTAAAGCTCCAAAAAAGAAAGGTGGTTTGGGTGCTGTTGACCTTCCACTCCAAACGCCAGTCTCGCAGATTCTGTTCACAGGTCAGGTGAGAGTATTGTGTGTGATATTCCTTTTTCAATTAATCTTAGGGGTGGGGCAGAGATTGTAAGGGTGAGATGTGTGGAAAAGGTTATTTCTAACTCTCATCGGATATCGATAGGTCCCTGCCATATGGTTTGGAACCATAGTTCTAATAAGTCCTTCTCCATTAGTTCCATGTATAAAATGCAGGTTGACAATATGTTCAATGGTGTTGAAGATTTTCCTGCTCAGTCCGTGTGGAGGAAGATTATTCCCACAAATATTTGTGCCTTCCTTTGGCTCGTGTGGCACAAGAGGATTTTGACAATAGACAACTTGAAGAAAAGAGGATTCAACTTAGCAAACCGATGCGAATTGTGTTTCCGTGAGGAGGAATCTATCAACCATATCTTCATCAGCTGCTCATTTGCCAAGAATGTTCAGAGAGAGTTGCTGTGTATGTCTCCGAGAACGGGGTTCGATTCTGAAGATATCTCGGTCGTCATCAACTCCAATGAGACTCGCGATCCGGATGATGTTGAAGGCTGGTTCAGACACAATCTCCTTCACGCCTACTGCTGGTTCATTTGGAAAGAAAGAAACCAGAGAATATTTCAACAAGATTATTGCCTGCATAAGGTGGTCTCTAAGAAGATTGTCAATGCAATCATTGAATGGACAACGACCCATGGGAGAATCACCAAAGGGCAGGGGAATATGCTTATTCAACAGTTTTTGAATGGCTGATTTGGCTTTCCTGCTGCATATGTTTGTTTCTCCCCTGTGTTAAGCTTTTCTTTCTGGCTCTAAGTTGTTCTGCCTCCCTCTCCCGACCCTGCCCTGTTTGGGGTCTTTGTTTTCCTTTTCCTGTTCAGGTTCTTCTTGTTGCTCTCTTCTGTTTTTCCACCCCTGGTGGGAGTCTGTCCATGACCTCTTTCCTTTTTAATTTTAGTTCATCATCATTATAAAAAAAAAATTCAACCCGAAGACATGGTGAGACAGTTTGATTGTCTATGGCCACTCATTCTTAGTCATCCATTAAGGGTATGATGCAACTTTGAACCAATACCTTGGTGTTCTGCATCGCCCTGAGTTGAGGCAACACAGAATTAGCTTCAAGGTACACACAGAAACCCCAGCAAATCCTGTTGAAAAGAAGGTGTTGTGTGGTTGGATGAATGACCAAAGACAGCACAGCGCATGGAATTACCTGCAAGCATTACCACGAAATGTCAAGAAGAACCTTATTAATGAAATAAACACGAGTGAAGTCTAAGTATGAAGCACACAAGTTCTCCTCTAAAACTCCACCGCTGGTAATGAGCATATTGCTTTTGCTTCATCTAGCATTTACGGTCCTACAATTTGAACGAAGATCAGAAAGGAAAGTGCAGATAAATGAAGTCTCCCTAGAAAGAATCCAAAACCAGAACCATGAAAGGAACAACAAGAAAAGCTAAGGACTCACCACAAAGTAAATAGCGAAGTTGTCCTTGTCCTCCATGTAACTGGACTTCAAGCTGAAGCGGATCATGTAAATTACCCAAAGATTAGTCAGCAGTTTATCTGAATCTAGCAATGTGTGTATATCATACTCCACAACAAAGCTGCAGTAGAGTCTAAGAGCTAAAAACAGAGCCGTCAACTCCTGAGACTTCAATGATAGCCCTGAAATTGCAAACTAACTCAAAACTCTTCAACAGAAATGGAAACCACAATGTCCATTAGAGCATTTCTTCATTCACATTCCAATTACAACAAGCAACCACCAATTAAGACACTTCCAAATAGCTTGTAATGCAAATAAAGTGAACATAATCAAATAGGCAGCAATCCATTTTCAATCTTCAACCAATGTGAAATGTTCAAAACCCTCAAAAGTCAAAACCCCACAACAAGACCAGTAAACACCAACCAAATTAGAAGGAACCCATCGATCAGAATCTGCGATAAATCCACAGATGAGACTAAAGGGCAGGCATTGTCTAGTTACCAGCACAAGTCTTCTCTTTGGTGAGCTTATAGATGAGTACGGAGATTACAATGGCGTGAACGACCTCGGAAGCAACGAAGAGATTGTCGTGATCGTTCACTATCATCCGGAGGAAGACGAGCGCGGCCATGGCAGAGATTACAGCCAGGAAAGCCTTGATCTTTGGCGGTTGCCTCCGAACCCATGTCGACACGGCGTGGATCAGCCGTTTCGTCGCTAGGGATGGCAACAAAACCCGAACCCACGGGTACCCACCCGACCCAACCTGGTCAACGCGGGTAAAACCCGTGCTGACAGGTTTTGGGTTGGGTTCGGGTTTAAACCCGCTACACTATTCATTGGGTCGGGTTGAGTTTGGGTTTAGGTAAACTCACCCCATGGGCCCACACACATATAGATACTTTCCCGGTATATTTAATATTCTAAATAATATATCTTCCTTAAACAAGTAATATTCTTTATGTTTGTGGAGACATGTATAATTTGTTCTTTCTAATTGTTTAGAATGAAGTTGATATTATGAAGTGGAGAGTGAAGAAACTTAGTTGACGAGGAAGAAGCTTTCAATTAATCTTATTGTTTATAGATGTTTATCTTTAATTTTGAAAAATTTGTATTGATCATTTGTGGTTTGCTTGTATGCTCTAGATTGATGTTTTTTGTATGAATAATTTGTATGAGAAAATTGATGTTAAACCAAACTGCTTTTGTCAAATGAATATTAATTGGTGAAAATATCATGTTGGCTCATGGGCTGGTTCATAAATGCTCTCATCAAAATATTTCTTCGAGGTGTGCTATTAAAATTGACCTTATGAAAGCATTTGACTCTGTGGACTGGGAATTCATTTTGCAAGTGCTAAGATGTATGAAATTTCCTGAAAGATTTTTGAAGTGGATCAGTGTGTGTGTTGGTACTCCCATGTTAAGTGTTTGTTTCGATGGGGGGCTTGTTGGCTACTTCCCAGCTAGAAAAGGGTTTCGACAAGGAGACCCTCTGTCTCCTTACCTTTTCTCTATTGCAATGGAGGTTTTTACTTGCCTCATTGATTATTCAACAGTTAGTGGTCTGTTTCCTTATCATCCTATGTGTAAAGGTATCCAACTTACGCATCTATGCTTTGAGGATGACCTGTTGGTCTTCTCGGATGGGTCAAACTATGGTATTCAGGAATTGCAGCGAGTTCTGGATCATTTTAAGATGGTTTCTGGGTTAAAATCTAATCCTAGTAAATGTGAGTTTTTCTTTGGGGGTATTGAAAGGGTAAAAAGGCAACTCAGGGCTGATAGATTTGGCTATAAACTTGGTGAGTTTCCTGTTCGTTATCAGGGGGTTCCCCTGATATCAGGGAAGCTTAGTATGACTGCCTGTCAATCTCTCATTGATAAAATGGTTAAGAGGATAAGAAGTTGGATAGTGAAGGCACTTTCTTATGCGGGGAGAATTGAACTTGTTGGTACATTTTTATACGATATCACCCAGTTATGGATGTCAGTTTTCCTATTACCCAAGTCTGTCATCAAGGAAGTAGAGAAGATTTGCAGCAATTTCATATGAGGGGTTGGAGTAGGTGTAAAACTCAGAGCAAATGTGGTCTGACAGAAGGCCACTTATCCTAAAAAGGAAGGGGGTCTGGGTTTTAGGGACTTAGGGAGTTGGAATCAGGCCTGCATGACAAGGCATCTATGGCCGATACTTATGCAGGAGGGTTCTCTATGGGTTTCTTGGATCAATAAGTACAAGTTGAAGGGTAGGGATCTTTAAAACTATTCTTGCTCCTCAGGATCCTGGAATTGGCAAAAGATGCTAAAGCTGCGAGGAAAGATTGCTCCATTTATCTCAACTAGGGGGAGTCAGCTTCTACTCAACAATTCTCCTATGCCTGTTTTCTCTATCAAGCGTATCTGGCAGTCTGCGCCCTGTGCAGCAGCCTGTAGCCTGGTGGAAGCTAGTTTGGAAGGGGAAGGCTATTCTTAGGAACAGAATTATCACTTGGCTTGTTGTTAGAGGGAGAATTAACACTAAAATGAAGATGCAGAGGTGGGGGTATAGTGGTAGCCTTGCTAGTGATTTATGTAGAGTTGGGATGGAGGACAGAGATCATCTTTATGCACTCTGCCCGTTGCAATGAAGATCTTTGATGCTCTATTTTCTAGGTATATGCAGATCCCCTCGTTGCAAAGGTGGGAAGATGTGCAGGACCTGATTGTATCCAACTTTGGAGGCCCTTCTGCAGCTGCAGAAACTGGGAGGTTGATCTGGCAATCTTGGGTGAGTCACTTATGGAGAGAACGATGTTGTCGTTTGTATTCAGCTAAGTCGAAGGATTCTACTGTATTATTGAGGGTGATTTAATATGAAATTGAATGTCTTCTTGGTAGTAATAGAGTTCAACTGTTCTGGGATAGCTAGCTGTTGTCATCTGTGTCTGTTGCTCTGGAGTATTATAGGTTTTCCACTGCTTTTTTTATGTCAGTAATATACCTTGCTAGCAAGGTTTGTTGCTAGCCCCACTTTTTCGATGAATGAAACCCATTGATTCATCAAAAAATAAAAATAAAATTGATGTTAAACTTTTATTTTGAAAGAAACTTGTTATTGTAATTTTTTTACCACAAAAACCCACGAGTACCTATGAACCCGCGGATACCCAGCTTGTTGGGTTTGAGTTTATCAAACCCAGCAGGTTTTACCCCGGTTTTTTTGGCGGATAAACCCCTGGGTTTGGTTTTGACAAAATGACTCACTTCTACTGTCACTCCAGGAATTGGCCAAGTGAAACCACTTCCTAAAGCGTAGTATAGCGGGTTTGGGTTTAAATGTCAACCCAGGTCCTAGATTTGATGACTACTCAGTGAATTCTTGTTATCTAGCAATGAAACTTTAATGCAAGTCTAAACTAACAAACTAACAAAGCAAGTAAACAGTTGTATTCAGGTTAAGAGAGGTCACCCGGATATGGTTCCCCCTAGACTGCAGTAAAGCTGGATTGCAATTACCAAGTTCAGTTTCTATGATAGTGATACTGCGGAAGGTTCTTAAACAGCCTGAAGTCTCGACTAAAGGTCTTCAGACCCTCTCAATCTGAGTCTCAAGCGGGCGACTAACCTCCACCGGAGTAAACAGATTGAGGCCCTAACGAACAAAACCTCCACTACCGAAGTGAATTCGGTACAGAATAGTGAGTTGGCTCCTCGACTAAAGTCACCAACTCCCTACCTTCAATCAAGGATGCTCTATCAACCTAGGCAGATATTCTCATTCTAGGTTAAAGCAGAAACAACAGAAATTTGATCAGGATTCATGCCATTCAATCATTCAAACCTCAATTGAATATAATCAAATCATAGAATCAGTACTTGGGTTCATACAATCAAACCTAACATACAAATCTAGGGTTCTCCATACCCAGATGAATGGGAGAACTACTCCATGGAGAAAGAAGCAAAAGCAGAATCAGACGCGGAATTCATACTGTGAAGGATGGATTCCTGCTCCTGGACGTTGATCGGCACTTCTCTAAGCTCAAACTGGCCTCCAATGGTGATGAAGATCAAGCTTGGGCACTTGGAGACTCTTGTTAGTTGCTTTCTCTCTCTAGGAATCGCTCTATCTCTCTCAAAACTCGAATCCCCTTCTCTTTCGGCTGAAATCTACTTAAAAAGGCATCACTGGGCAAAGCACGGTCGAGGGCACGGCCGTGCTTTGCTTCAGCCCGCCCGTGCTTTGGCTAGGGTTAATTACACGGCCAGCCTGTTGGGAGACACGGCCGTGTAATTTCTCAGCCCTGCCCGTGTTTTGGCTCGTGTTTGCCAAACTCAAATAAGCTCTCGGTAGTAAAAGCACGGCCTAGGAACACGGTCGTGTTCTGATTTAGGTGTGCCCGTGTTTTGGCCCCAGCTCCACCGAATGACTTCTGAATGCCCCGAACCTCGTGTTTAGCCTTTCCTTTGACGCCTGGGACCTGAAATATGACAAAGTAGCACAACCCGGCGTAAAATAGGCCAATAATACACGACTATGCCACTCAAACGGATAAGAACTAGGGGCGCAAATATGTGCAATTACATCGTTATCATGTTCCCCCACACTTAACCGTTTGCTTGTCCCCAAGCAAACCTAACTCAAACCAATGCAACTCTCCAGACCTCTATAGCAACAAACAACCCAGATCGTAGGTAGAGGACTTCCTAGATCATTTAGCAACTTACGAGGTCAACCGACGCACAAGTCATCTCATAGCTTCTTCGGCGAGAGCACTAGTATCGAGTCGGCATCATGGCAAATAGTGAACAGAGGACAAATGAATTGTGGATGAAGAGATTCTCAAAAACAAAGGATCATGGACTCACATTTTTCAAGGTGCTCTATTTTCTTTTTGAAGATGGTTGGAACCCCTTTTCTTTCTGTTTTGCTTGTTTTCTGTTTTTTTTTTTTCAAGGGTCCCAACCTGCTTTTCAGAAAATGGGGCTCCCACCTAGCAAAGGTTTTGCGGGAGCCCGGCTCTTACCGGCCATGCCAGGAGCGGATGTCTCAAGCCTCGTGCGGGGGAAAGACATGTAAGGGGGCTGGAGATAGTAGGTGGAAATTGGGAACGGATTTCCGTCTACCCTTACACACTTTCGCCCTATTCGCACGGGAGACGTTATTTTGAAGCACATTTTCGAGCACATGTTAAACTCAAAACATGAAACAAGAGTCCATGACAGGTAGAGAATCCACAACCCCACACAATTCAAGGGTCCTAAGATCACTAATTTACTCAATCAACCAACACAATATGAAGAAGCAATGAGACTTCTTAAATGCATCAACATCCTCCATAGTGCTACACTATCTCCCTAGGTTGCATATTACTATAAAGACTGTTAATTCAAAGCATACTGAGCAGGCAAATGCACGGAAACACGTACTTGGAGCCCTCAAATTTAAAAATTTGGACAGTGGACTAGGCTCCAAGCACACAACAGATCTAATGCAGTCAAAAGATAAACATCCCCCCACTTAAGATCGACATTGCCCTTAATGGATAAGAGGGAAGGGAAAGGGGAACGATGTTACCGGTATGCACGGACTGCAGGAGACTGGAAGCGGACCAGTCGAGTGAAGCGGACTGGAGAGGGACCAGT